TTTTTTTTTTTTTACTTTGGTTCTAACTAATGAGAGTGGATGATGGTCTTTATTTTTTAATATTAAAAAATCAACAAAATAATAGGATTCAGTGTAGTGCGGGTGGATGTTCCATTTTTAACCTCCATTTTTTTTGTTTTTTAATATTAAAATATCAACAAAACAATTGCATTCAGTGTTGTGTGGATGATCTAATTTTTAACCTCCATTACTTAACATAATACATCGCATGACATTCTTTTATAGAATCATTTATGACAACAATAACAATATTGCATGTCAATAATTTTGTAAACATTATTTTATTATTTTGAAATCATTTATTTGGACATTTACTTTATATATTATTTTACTTATTACTTTTAATATAAAAATATTAAAAAAGTAATTTGAAAATACTTATTATATCAATAATACTTTTTGTTAATATAAAATAATTAAACGAATATAACCAAAATGTATTTATATCAAAATAATTTTCAAGTTAATAATACCAAATAATTTTATGAATTAATAAGCTACTTTTACCAAACATATTTATGAAAACCGCTATTACTATCCGCTGGTCAAAACAGCTGACACAATCCGCTGATCAAAATAGCTATTACAATCAGCTATCAGTTGAACCGCTAACTACCAAACAAGGCCAATAACATCTTTTTATATAAATAAAAAATTAAACATATTTTTATCAAATCTTCTACAAGATTTTTTCTTTGTATTTCGAAATGAAAATCAGTCTATGAATCTTAATTATTAACTTCCATTTCACTCGATAAACATAATAATAATTTAGCCCATAAATATACATTCTCACAATATATATATATATATATATATATATATATATATATATAAAAGGAGAGAACCTATTTACCAAAAATAGTAACAAAAAAAGTCAACCAACATTTATTGCATTATATTTTTGGCAGGTTTTGAATTTTATTTTTAAATTATTTCCAAAAAATAAATCAGTATATATGTACCCTAAATTCATGGGTTTTGTGAATTTAATATAGGTAAATTTCAACTGATGCATACAATTTTGGAAAAGTCATAACTTTTTCTCATTTTATATATAAAAAAACTGATTACCCTAAAATCGGGAATTTCAAATTAGGCAAAATACTATCACATATATTTTTTTCCTATTTGTGACAGATTAATTGTTTATTAAAAAAATCGGATTTCATAGAAATCGGGTTAATTTAGGTAAAATTCGGCACGACAATTAGGAAAAAGTCAAAATTCTCGCATTTTTTATATAAAAAAGTTTTTACCATTAAAATCGGAAATTTCAAATTAGGCAAAATACTATAACATGTATTTTTACCTAATTGCAACAAATCATGTTTATTAAAAAAAATTAATTCCATAGAAATCAGACCCAATTTCAAATTGACAATTAAAATTTAAAGATCTCTTATCATTTGGCTACATGCTACTACTTTCTTTAGTTTGTATTTTTTTTTTAAACATAAAACAGAGTTAGATAATATTATTTTGAAATTAAAAATGAAATCGAATTGGAACATCCTAAAAAATTGTGTTTTGTTTAATTCTCTATAATACAAACTTGAAATGGATTGCATACATTTATACAAATTTTCTCTTCCTTAAATTAAGTAATTTACAATTTTAAAATGATAAAGCTATAGATTATCCAGAAAGACGTTTTACAATCTCCGTTATATTTGGCTATGCATTCTTCATAAAACTGGTATAAATCATATATATATCCTGGTAAATAATTTAATTGATTTATTTAAGTCTATCTAGAATCCTAATAAAATTTGTGAGCGATAAACGATGTACTAAAAGACCAAACATATAATGTTGTGTACAATGATGTGTCTTATAATATGTAAATTACATTTTGTTTTATTACATTTTACATTCTTCAAATCATCCAAATCTAAATGTCTACATTAATAAAATTAGGCCGTGCATCGCACGGGTACTACACTAGTTATAATAACTCGGCTTAAACTTTATCTACTGCAACAATTCAGGATCGATAATGTATTCATGGCATCTCCTTAATAAAAAAAGCACGTGTTCTATGAACAAAAACCTTTATAATTACCACATTATGGGATTTTGGTTCCTAAAGATTATATTTCTATAACTATAAATTGATAAAGAAAATGAACGTTCTCACTTTAGGCTATGTTTGGTAAAACTAGCTGATAAGTTAGCTGATAGTTGATAAGCTAGCTTATAGCTTACCAGTAATTTTTTAGCTTATAGCTTATGACTTATAGCTGAAAAGCAAGCTTATATGATAAAAGTGTTTTGTAAAATTAGCTGATAAACTAGCTGGAATAAAAAATTCAACTAGCTTATTGGAAAAGCTACCTAAAGAAGCTTATCAAATAAGCTCAAGCTTTTTAAAAAAGTTCATCCTCCCAAACGAGGTTTATTTTAATACAGAGAGCTTATAAGCTAACCAAATAAGCTATAAGCTAGTTTATTTGTCTACCAAATATAGCCTTAGTCACGAAACTTTTAGATGGCCACATATTTAGGACTAAGTGAAACAAACGTTGCCAACTAAAAACAAAATAATTAAACAAATTATATATCTTTTGCTCAAACTGTTCATTATTTAATACCAAAACCAATATAAAAGGGCCTTTTTCATATAAGAAATTCCATAGAATAATTGGAGTATATATATACATATATATGCGTTGGTTCAACTGGGAATGTTGTTCAATGAAAGAAATAAAAATGCATCTTAGCCATACAATCCGAATATTCAATGCCAAAAAAAAAAAATCTAAAATTTTGCACTTATTAAAGGCATATTGGACATTATCCCATCCCAATCACCGGCCTATCCCACATAACTGTGGGTCCCACCACAACAGACACATCTCTCCCTATCTCTTCCACTCTTTCTCTCGATACTCCATCCTTGTATTTCTGAGATTGTCAGGTTGTCGCCGCTAAACCCGCCAACGCCTCATCCACTAAACACGCCGATGCCACCCGTGTTTTTGCGATTTCCGCTACCGCCCATGTTTTCGAGATTTCTGCCGTCGCCCGAGTTTCTCATCTTCCGTGCCAATTCCGTCGTATCCGTCATCATTCGAGCCTACTCAAGTTGAGAAAGCGTCTGTGGTGGAGCCTCACCAGATACTTGATGACCACCGCGTCGTCTGACATGACGGCGTGACCCATTTCTAGTGAGAGACACTCATGGTCATCTTGTTTGGTAATATTGTGCAGTCTGATAGGTACTACTATGATATATTTAGATTTTTATATTTTTTATTTAATATTTCTATTATTTTTATTAAACACTTATTATATATATGTATAAAAACCAGATATAAAAATAACATTTTTTATATATATTTAGAAATTATAAATTTGGTCCAATGTATTCAATTGAAATATAACAAAAATTTATAAATGACAACTAAGTCTTTCAATCCTATCGAATTCTCAAAATCAAGCTCCACATCTTGAAGTTGATGCAACACTTCTCTTAGGACGATGGTGGAGGCGACAGATGTCGCAAACGAGACGACGGCGGCGATTAAACAGTGGACAAAGACAGCGGCGGTGGTCGGATGGCGAAACGGGGCGGGGACAGCGGCGGCAGACAGATGTCGCGAACGAGATGGTGTCGATAAGTGGAGGTCTGCGAGGTCTCAGGGCGGACGAAACCGAGCCCATCTACTCCTACATTAGCGAGGTCGGCGGCGCGTGGTGGTCGGAGAAGGGCTGACGAGGTACTTCACAGCCGAATTAACGTCGAACTTACATCGAAGGGACGACGACAAGTGGCGGGTCATAGATGTTGTCGATCTTGGTTTTCGTATCTCATCCAGAGGAGGCAGTCCTCGATCTCGGCGGAAGATGAGGCGGATGACGCTGGTAACTAGCGGCTGTCGGTGGGCGATGGGCGGCTGGCGACGTGCAGAGGTGATGTGTCAGAGGCGGAGTGATGCGTCGCCGAAGGCGGTGGCTGCCTGGTGCGCCTGAGAGTGTGTTGTGTGTATTTGCGTGTGATGTGTGTGTTGAGTGTGTGTTGCGTGTGGAGTGTGCGTTGTCTGTGCATGTAAAGAGAGAGAGAGTGTGGGGTGTGTGTGTGTTGTGTGACTGGTGGTTGGGGTTAGGTGGAGGTATATTAATGTGAAGTAGGACCCACTTGTTTGAGTGTAGTGTAGAAAACTGTCAATGAAGATATATTTTTGACTTTTTTATGAGCTGTTAGATCATGCAATCTAATGGTTACGATGTATTATTTCTTTCATTGAGAACCATTTTTCACAGGAATGCGATCATATATATATATATATATATATATATATATATGTGTGTGTGTGTGTGTGTGTGTGTATCTTCTATCATATTTATATGTAATTTTAGAACTCGCTGAGCCTAAATGGCACTTTCGCACGCTTCGTAATCGTATGTGGCAAAATATTATGATTTGTAATATGACTTAGATAAAAATTACTAATTTGTTATATCAAATAGCTTAGTTTCGGATTGCCATATATACACATACATTTAATATATTTAAACTAATTTGTATAAATCTATTTATTATCTTCTTTCTATAATGTGCATATAATCTTACTTTCAAATTTTACGCTTTGTCCATATTATTCTCTTATGTATTTTAAATAAAAATATTACAAATAAAATTAATGATGTATATAAATCAATTTTCAGAATTTAAACTAATATTGTTAATTCACTTAGTTCTTTATTATAAATTGTTATATATTGCTCCTTATTTATTTTTTCAACTTAAAAAAAAATATAAACATTTTTTTCTTTTTTCTTTTTTCATTTTTCATTGTACATTTAATTGTTTTATTAACCACCCGTATAGTACATGAGTATATTACTCAGAACTGTGGGCTCTTGTTGGTTCCAATTGCCAAGTAGACATATTAACCAGGCAAGCAAGAAAATGGAACATGAAAATAAAAACTCCATGCAATGAATTGGTTTCGAAATTCTTAATTCTTCAAACTGCAAAACTAGATATGAATCTCAGTTGGTTGTGTTATGTATTATATTCTTTCATTTATGGTTCTCGTGGCATTACAGAGTGGATACATTCCCTTTCCTCTACAGGTAAACAAGTGCTTTACAATGTCTCAAATCTATGGACTGTAAAAACACAAAGCCCTTGGGAACTTGAGACGCTAGACTAGTTTTACATGCACCACTCGAGACCCATCTTTTCAGTTTTCATTGCTTGCACATGCACTCAGGCACAGGGTAAGCCAGCACATCCCTGTCTAACCTCTCGTTCCTCGGCTCAGGCTGCCCCAGAGAGTATTTATGCAGCCTCCGCATAGTCCTCCCAAATTCTTCTTCCGTTAATGACACATTCTCCAGCAACATGACCATCATTCTCTTGTTCGGCTTTATGTACTTTCTGTGCCCGACGAATGCACGATGACCCTGCACAAGTAAATTGGTCATTTTTGGAGGCAATAAAAAACAGAATTACTTTATCTTTTTGCTGCTATGACTCGTATGATAATTGTACTTATGCTATGTTGACTACCTGTATAGTTTTGGCCATGTTGCCGCCATGGGAAGGTACAAAAACATCACTGCTCAATGACACGATGTAGTCTATGGCCGCAAGAAAAGAAGGTTTGTTCATGTATGGAGTGAGCTCTCCCTCTCGTGCCAAACTCTGCTTCGTGAATATATTCGGAAACTCATGCACGAGCGACTCTAGGGCTCGGTTGCCTCCGAATGGTTTTCCTCCGGCCAAATATATACGGGCATCTCCGGGTGCTCCTAAACCCTTTAGAAGCCTGCACTTTCAAGAATTACCACACGTTTACAAGACTGAAATTTAGCTTAAATAATATGCTTTTTAATATATAATTACCTTGCTACTTCAAGTGCACTGAGAGGGCAGAGTCCTGAAAGATGTCGAGCGGAGTTGGATAGATTCAAGTTATCAGTTAGGAGGTCAGGTTTAGATTCCCGTTCCTTGGTTATGATTTCGTCATGCTCAGGTCCTAAGCCGGTGAGACATCCAGTTTTGACCCACGCGTCCTTCTCTATCCTTAGATGTACGGCTATGTAAGGGCCTTCGATCCACATTCTCCGAGCAATCTTATTGCCGAGTTCATTAATTGGGGAGGTGAATCTCAGAGCATGAAACGCCACCTGTGTCAAAGGCAAAAAGGGAAAACAATAAGAAAAAAGGGAATCAGTTCAATTAGCATGGTACGAGGAGTTTTTATTTTTCTGGGTACAAAAGAGATTGAGCAAATATGTGTTTTATTACCTTGCAGCGGAGCTTCTGAAGATCCGAGGGAAGATTCTTGGAGAGTCTAGATTCTAGTCCTTTCAATATGAGAAGGCCTTCATTATTTAGCTAAATGAACAACAAATGTAAATAATGAAGAATAAATCAGGACCCATCTATCAGAATGTGTGTGTCCATATTTCGTGCGGTATAGAACCTCAAAAGACTACAGAAATTCTCCTAATACAGTCACTGTAAACCAGTAAGGAAGCATATTCGCTAATACACGCTTTTACGCATCTTACTTGGTGAAGGAACCTTGCACGAAGCCACATTGGCGAGACCTGATATGGAATTTGATCCACGACTGACTGCCGTGACACCAAGTGTGTAGCAGGAAGGGAAGACACGATTCGAACGTCAGCTTGCAAAGTCTTTCTGAAATGTTCCAGATCGAATATGTCTGCAAACTCACTGCAGATATTAAAACAACACATGATTAAGCCCCTCATTTTCTTGCAGCATGATTACATGTACCAAGAACCAAATGAGTTTTCAGCCAATACACAAATATACCAGGTGATTCCAAGTGATAAACGAGAAAATTTTCGTTCATACAAAAGCCAAAGCACATGAGAAATAGGTAAAGACATGATCTCGGGTCCCCTGCATGATAGAAGAGTATATAATATTTGCCAATTTCATCTTCAATTCTATTGATAAACATATAATGATCTCACTACCATATGTGATGCACCTTGAAGAAGCTAAATGCCTAAATCCATAAGCTGAAACATTCCCCCAAAATAAATCCATAAATCAAGCAAAACAAGTCCAAAAATTTTGAAAAAAAATCAAGAACAGCAACATGCACATAATATCCCATCTGATCGAGCTTTCATCTCCCCAAATGCAATTGGAATGAAAAAACAGGAAAAATGCCCATTCGTCTTAAACCCACCTCTCATCTCCCCAAACGCGATGAACCTCAAAAACCGGCACCACCAAAGCCGCCTCCAGAATCCTAGCCATGACAACCGCATCAACAATCTGTCTCCTCTGCTGATTCAACCCGCCGGAAACAACCACCACCAGGAACTTCCTCTTCTCCTTAGAAATCTTACCGGACATCTTCCGGTAGTCGAGCCCAAAACCCAAGCACGGCCGATAACCCTCGTCATCGGGCTGCCGCCAGAAATCCCTCTCCACAAGAGAGAGATTAGGGTTTGCGGGCACCCCGTGCGCGGGTAGAGGCACCATGGCGCTGCTGGGCCCGTCCTGTTTCGCCAAATCACTAAAAATCAATGAGAGAGACGCCAACGATGAAGAAGGCGAAACCGCCGAGCAAAGGATGGAGTGCTGAGAAATCGGGTAGAAAGTGAAAGCGCAAATCGCGAAGAATGTGCAGAGGATGAAAACGGAGAGTAAGAGGATAAGAGGGAGCTGTGAAGAAGACGATGGCCGGTTTCTGAAATTCGTGTTCGGGGACGAGAAAGGAGAAGCTGCGACGAACTGCGTGAAAAGTGATGGGTTAACAAGAGGAATCCGCCATGGATTTTTTGGAGCTTTCGCCATGAGGATGAGCTGCATGAGCTCTGGAGACTGTTTTTGACTGATGATTATGTGGGCTTGGCCCCTTTTTCCTTTTTTATTATGCTTTTTTTTTTTTT